TGCCAGATGCCCAGCCATACAGTCCGTGTTTGTCAGCAGCTGACAAACATGACAAGATAGTTGCATCGCTGCGCGCCTTGTACGTAGACTCTGTAGCCTGTATGGAGTCTACATGGGCCAATAAATCAACGTCCTCAGCATCATCACTGTAGTTGTGACCAAGCCCATCTCCATCTTCTGCGACTGCGCTCATGCGCATTTTACGCAGATGCGCTCGATTACGAAAGTGATCTTCTCGTGAGTCCTGACACTCGTAGAGAAACTGTACGTTGTATAATATCCGTTTGACCTTTTCGGAACATACAGACTCAAAGGCGGCAAATGCCTCTTGCCACGACTGATTGCGTTCGCGCAAATCATACACGGTCCTCCACGGCTTGAAGAGCATGAGCATAATACGACAATAACGTGCGTAACCTTCAGGTTTGTCCCTCCTAGGCAACGCAGGACCAATCGGAACGACAAGCGGACGTAAGGATGGATGGATAATCTTCAGATGTTTTCGGCTTGCTTCTGGGTGAGGGTTCTGCAAATCGGTGCAAGGCCTCCGTCTATTCATATCTCCCAGCAACAAAGACAACTGATGCACACTTAGACATTCTGTTGGATCGTAGCTGTGCCTGCATTTCTCAATAGAACAGGCAAAGTCCCATACGGAGAGGTGAGTGAGCAGCTCTCCTCGATAGATGTAGTCAGAGAGCTGATCTGCTTTCGCAGTTACACCTCCCGTACCGTCTGCGTCAAGAACAATCTCTTCTTCCAGAAGCTCATCTTCGTCTTCACTCGAAATATCGTCATCAGAGAGAGCATCTTCGTCGTCGCTATCGTCGGCATCGACACTAGACGGCTGGTGCTCTGTGGCATGTGTAGAGGCTGAAGCGGCACGCAAATCACATTCAGGACTGGGCCACTGCTTCTCAAGGTGAGATTCAAACGTTGTCCAGTACAGGTTGGTGTAATCATGACTTCGGTAGCACAGCTCGGAGCCTTCAAGGAACATTGCAACTTGAGGTGCAGGCATCTCTTGATGGCTAAGAAGTGCGAACGCACATTTCTGGAGCAGCCGTTTCGACCGAATGGTGAGATCATCTTCATCATCGGATACTATAGACAGTTTCTTGACAGCCAGTTCCAGCGCAGCGTATGCCACATGTGCCTTAAGTTCAGATTTAGTGATATAGTCAGTGATGTAAAAGATCACGGCTTTCGCAGCTTCGCCAGATGCTATGAATTTGATATCCATATTGCAGCGCATCGCTCGCAGGATTGTACTGTTGAAGTTGTTAACCATGCCGTCAAGACAGCGCAGGCAGAGCTCGCCTTTATCGTTGAACGTCGTTATCGGACAAGTGTTTTTTGGGTCTAAGTCAAAACGGCACTCCTTCCGTTCGCCAGATTTAACATATTTGTAACAGGTCATTGAGTGGACGTGGCACTGGCATTTACGAGAAAGCCAATACAGGTCGCGTGCGCAGGAAGGTGCAGCTGAGCCATCCGAACCTGCAACATCATCGGCGGGTGGGCCGCGAACGCAACATGGATGCGGATGGCATGAATGTTCGTCTGCAGCTGCGCCATCTGGATTTGGCGGTAGCTCATTAGAGATAGTGTCGTCGAGAAAGGTGATCAGCCTTTGAGCAAATGCATCATCCCCACCAAGTACGCGATCACGTATCTGGTGCGGGTCTAACCCGCCCTCAATCCAGACAACCATGTGACAGTGTAATGTACCACGACCTTGGCTTTCTACACATCCGTAAAAAGCTGACACTTTTCCTAAGATTCCATCCTCTTGTCCGACAGCACGAGACTTCGGGTCAAAACGAAGAATACATTTAATAAAAGCACGCATACATATGTCGAAAAAGCGTTTACCAACAAATGGATTCTTAGCAACAAGTAAAGTCTGACGATAGCGATCGAAAGAGTCTCCGTTAGCGATGGCATCGACATCGATCTCTTCACCAGCAAGAAAACGAACCAGTGGATTGTAAGTATCAGCAGGGTTCAGAGTCAGATAGAAGGATGGAGGTCCCAGAGCTGTCATAGTTGCACGGATTTGATTCCGCATATTCAATTTCGACGACGATGAACCAGGGACATTCCCTGTCACAAGACGAACTTCACGCAATAATCTCAGGACTCGGCGATCATCATCAGTCTCTGCCAAAGGTGTGACATCAGACTGCAACCTGTCGCAAATGCGAGCAATAGCTTCAGGTGTGATTTTGTTGAACTCATCAGCTACACGGCTAAAGGATGATCGTTTCACTTTCAATTTAGAGCGCAACAACACCTCACGACGTTGAAGAATATTGAATGCGATAAACATGAACGAGCGGTGCGTTTGAAAACGGGAGTCTGCTAATGCAAACAGACGGCGAAGATGTCTTTTGAACGAGACGGCTTGCCGGCGTAGAGGATGTTCGAGCCCACCGATACCGTAAGGGAACAAGGTGGGATAGAGCATCGGAAATAAAGCAGGGTTACAAAATTCATTCACAGGGACCGGATCATGGGGGATTTGAACGAATCCACCACCTTGCTCTTTCACATGACGAACAGCAGCGGCACGAAGATCAGATTGCGGCGCATTGCCATCTACATCAGTAATAACCACAGATTGGAAGTTAACTTCACTGGTAGTCTGAATGCTATCATTATGTAGAGAAGAGTCTCCAGCATCGAGTTGATCACGAGCATCGTAGCGTGAAGTAGCAGCCTCTTGTGCTGCAGAAGACTCTACCAGTTCAATGTTGAATGGTAGGACACCATCGGCAGGCAGTGCAGTCAACATGTCCTCGTCAATGTGAACGTCCGCATAAAGTGGATTATGAGCTTTAAGCCAGTACAGTGCCTTTCGAATACGGTCAGGGCGTGCAGTCAAAGGAGTTGCATGATCACGAAGCCATTCACGAGAGGGAGGAGAGCTGCCCACAAATATGATACAAATCGAGCTCACAATGTCTTCGACACTTGCAGGTAGGACATCAAGTAATTTTCCAGGGCGTTGCGGATGTATGATAATATTTCCACGAACAGCACGTTGAAAGCGGCGGGTATCTGTATGGCGATTGGTAGACAGAGCATCCTCGTCTTTCAAATGCACAATGCAGCATTTTGCTCGACAAAGAGCAACCATAGCTTCCTCAACAATGCTTAGCTCAAGCTCCGCAGGAACCGATGGTCCAAGATACATGCCATTGGCTAAAGCGAGATCAGGTAACTTTTTATTAGATAGAGCTGAATTGCACGAGCGACAAAGTTTTGCAGCTCGGTTGAAATCTGTCAGGCCCGTAGGATCGAGCAGAAGGTCACAAAAGGGCTGTGAGAGGTTAAGATGAGACAACGGCAAAGGTAACTCGTATCCATCATGAATCATATATGTAGGACAACGGAGGACATCGCAAGGTAATTCATTCAATGGAACAGTATGGCATTCGTGGACGGAAGTGGCTTGAGCACAACATGCACAAGTAAATGTGCGAAGAGCCTCAGAAGATGTTTCCTCTCGGAACAACCGAACCAGCTTTTCTTTTAGTGCGTGACTGACAGGTTGCGGCCATTCGCACATAGTAAGTTCGCGAGCAGCGAGACGTGCACTCTCTTCAAGCATTCTCCGCTCGGTATATCGGCCGTCATCAAAATATTGGATCGTTGTACGTTTACCCTTTAGTATGGACCTAATGTAGCGTCTCACAACGCGTCGCAGGCTGCTTACAGTGTCATCTGTATTGTACGCAATATCCATGGCGTCCATCAAGCGTTGCAGAGGACGACCCTTGATACGGTCTACAACATTTGCTAACAAGTGTGCACGATGAAGACTGATGCGGTCCTGGTCCTGAGCAGCATCAGACTCAACAACACACCGTTCACGCACAATCACGCATGCAGGATTCTCACCACCATCCAAACAACCGGCGGAGGCGAGATGATCCATAAGGGCGTCACGTAAGGACTCGGATTTGCATTTATTGGTGTAGCTAATGCCATGAGCGTCCAGACGACACCGTAACTGCTTAACTGATAAACGAGAAAATTTTGGTGCACAGACCTCAAATCCATCGTAAGCATTCGAGTCCTGTGACGTGCTCACATCATCGGCGAAGGCTTCGTGGGCATTAGGCACTGTGTCAAACGATGAAGAGCCAGAAGGCTTGGTAAACGACTGGGTAGACATACCAGAAGACTGAGTAAACATGCCAGAAGGCAGGATAGACGTGCCAGATGGCGGGGTAGACGTGCCAGACGGCGGGGTAGACGTGCCAGACGGCGGGGTAGACGTGCCAGACGGCAAGGTAGACGTGCCAGACGGCAAGTTAGACATGCCAGATGGCAGAATAGACGAGGACGGGCCAGATGGCTCGGTAGAGGTCCATTCGAATGACGGACAAGCATCGACAGGGCGTACCAGAAAACCAGATACAACGTCAGGCAAAGCAGACGAGATCCAGTCCTCTCCAAGGATAACATCGTGCGCACCAGTTGCATCCATACGCAGCTGAAGGGTACCACGACATTCAGATGATGCAGCATAAACAGTCAAGTGCGCATGGAGAAAGACAGTCGCAACCGAACGGTCGGTTACGACAGTGCGTGGCAACGAGTGAGCGAGCACAAAATGAGACGAAATAAGAGACCTCGGGCGGGAGGAATCAACGAGGATAGCGATGGGTAGATTACCGAAAAGACCGCGAGCAGACACACGCATGATGAGTAGCAAGTGGATGGAAGAGTGAGGATAGGGGGGGACGGAGCGAAAAGCGCAGCGCTACGCAAAAGATTACATAAGCGATGCAAAAACCGCGAACGAACACCTGCAGAGGGCTACCGTGAGAAGCGATTATGTAACAATAGGCGCTTTGCAAAAACAGCGAACGAACAACGTCCGACTAAACCCTTACCAAACAAGTTTGGTAGCGGGAATAAACTGTCTAAATTTTAGAAACGATAAATAAGTACCACATCTGAATCAGGAGAACGATTCAAGCAAAAAGGGGCTCAACCGGGATTCGAACCCGGGATCCCTTGCAACTGGAAACACCCAAAGCAAGTATCTTACCTCTAGACCATTGAGCCGTATAATGGGCTTGTTCTAAACGCTGTGTATAGATTCACGGGAGATTGGGAATTTACTATCAGAAGTAGCCTCATCTTTTACTACGTTCAGTGATAAAGTATCAAGTTGTCTCCTTGCATGGTACTGTCGATACGACCAGTGGCGTCTGAACAATTTATCAGATCGATGAGCCGACGATGAAACCGTTTGTCCCCAGGTCTTCGATAAGGTGCGCTTGGCGGAAGCACCGATAACAATGGTATTCATGTCTTCGATCTTACATACTCAGCAAGTAAAAACGTATGATAGTGAACGTTCCGATAAGAACAGGAAAGCATTTGGAGAGGTCAGGTTGTCAGTGTACCTGTAATATCAAGTCATGAAACATGGGGATTGATATGTAATAACCAAACGTACCAGTCGATGATACTCGTTCCTACATCTACAATCCTCGTAGGGTTCCTACGCCAGCTTCGTTGCATCGTATTCAAGCGCTGCCGGTGTCTCCAGGGCTTTCTCCTCGAGTGCTGCTTTCTCCAAGAGGTCCCTGAACGGAAGTACGATTCCCGCACCCGTTGTCCTGAGTTGCTTCAGATCCGGAAGAACGATTTGGCCTATTGGAGGCAACGCCTTATGCGCCACTTGAGGGTGGCTCAAGAGCCATGTAACTTGTAAGATGCCAGAACCGCTAATGCGGGAGAGCTGGTAGTGTTCGGACCCCTTATTTGGTTTTTGCACGGTTAGCGCGAAGGAAGTAACAAGTGCAAGGATCAATAGGGAGAGCCCGGCCCAGGCCTAATGGGAGGCCGTGTAAGCTAACGATAGGATGGACAGCGAGGACGGTACGTACCCAATTGCGCCGAAACTGGTAGGAATGGTTCGGCTGTGAGCGTATGTAACGACATGAAATAAATGAGTGTGAGGTACCTGAATATCCGCGATAACCACAAGCGAGCTATCATCGACGTTCTCGGAGGCTTTCTGGATACTGGCTAACGTCGGAAAATATCAGTATTACAAGGATATATGGGCTCGGATACCATCAAAATGGAGACGCACCGCGCCAATACAAAAGGGTGACGATTCCTTGCAGTGTTTCTTCTAGCCATGCAATGTCAAGTCCGGTCGCATCATCAGCAGATAATGGTCCAAAAAGAGCGTTCCATAGTATACTTTGAAACGCCTCAGTGGTGATACTTTTCATAGGACATCAAACACGCACTCTTCGATCAAGGACACTCGGCGGGTGGTTGTAACATTCGCGCCGCTGAAGCCAACAGTCCGGGTGTTAGACCTTGTACTTAATGGCGAGAGTATGGCCAGTTCTCCAATCTAACCCGGCATTCGACGATAACTACGTCAGTATACCCAACGTTGTCTACACGAGGCAAATAGAGCAAGCGCACCGGAGCCAAGTATCCCGGCACCGCCCCCTGCAATGTCCAGTTTGCGGGTGCGTCGACGTCGATATCCAATACTTCCGGAGAGACGTCGATGAGCTGTCCGTTGACGTCGATTAGCGCGGTCACGTTCGTGGCCGTGATGCTGCACCCAATGATAGGTATTTCGGATATCACTACAGCTACGGGAGTGTAAGTTCGCAGTCGAATGCAGAGGGAAGTCTTACGTACTACAATTGCCACTCTGGTTCGCCATGCAGTTCAGGCCGATGATTGATGGACTTATAGGAGCAAACGTGAAGGAAGCGTTGAAGTCCTCGACAAAAACAGGCGGGACTACGGCAATAAAGATGGTAGAGCTGCTTGAGCCGCCAATCCGAGCAGCAGAGACCACATTGATAGCTCCTGGTGCTGAATGAAAAATTAGCAAGGTCGGCTACAACAGAGTCGGGTGGACAACTCACTTGGCAGAAACTGCAGATCTTCGACATCGTTGTCGATGTGAAAAGTGTATATCGGGTTATCGCTGCTGAGATCGGCAGATCCTGCCTGTCGTGCACCTGTGATACTGCTGCAAGATGCCTCAAATGCCAATCCAGATGCGTTCGTAACGGAGTCCACGGGGCCTCCAACCTGCCCGGTATTGTACAGCACGTTTTCAGACAGACCAAAAGTGTTTATGGCCGAGTCAACCTGGGGAAGAATGTTGATGACTGGAAACGCGAGCTCTATGCTGTGCAGTAGCACACATTAGCTATGCATAACAAATGAAGACCATACACTGGCAATTGGATTGATAAAATAGAAAGACTCACTCATTCGTGTTCAGCATCATAGCGAGGTCCTTGGTTTGGTTATACAACGTGTTATTCACACGTGGCCCGATATCGAAGTAGTTTGACGATGTATAACCCAAACAGAACAGGGCGGAGAAGTATCCAACGATAAAAAGAACCTTCCATGGCGCGGTGCGGACACCAGCGACTTGCGCGTAAGCGGCCTTAATGGAAGGAAAAAGACCGAGCCAGGCTGCGGATTGGTCGTGCAAGGAGGAGAGCGTCGGGCTCCCGTTGAGGTTGCGACGTAGAGCGAGGTCTTGAGTCAACCATGTCAGAAGGGGAGCATATCCCTGCGGAGGCAGTACGATGAGTTATGAGCCTAAACATTGAATGGTACGTGAGACAATGCTGCTTACCTTGACCGCATACTTGACGCCTTTGCTGGCGTAATCGAACAAAATCCCAGCGAAGTCCGGATTAGAGTCCGAGTTGACCTGGCTTCCGTGTTTATGCTTGTACTCATATGCAAGTAGCACGCTGTGAACGACGATGAGGGAGACGTGGAGGAGGACGGTGAGGTAGAACTTGAATGACTGGTGGAACCAACGAAACCACGGTGGAGAAATGCGTTGAAGAGTGCGAGTGACGGCGTCCATGAAGACAGATCGAGGGGTGTTGTGACTTCTAGCCAGAGAAAATAGGGAGGGAATTGTGTTTCGGACATTCGAAGCGTCGTACTCAGGCATCTTAATATCCTGTGGGTCCGCTGCTACATGTGTGTTCGGCACCCGACAAAACTGCTTATAGTTTGCCACATGTTTGAGTTTCAGTGCATGCATACACGGTCCATGTTACACGCATTTGCTTTCTCTGACAACAAGAATGTTTGGATGGACCCTGAATGTTTATTGGAACCGTTGATAAAGCATTCTGGGCCAGAGTCCAAGCTCCCCACTATCGAGGCGGTGATATTTATGATACATCCTTAGTGAACGTAAATATCAGATACGCCTTGCAAAGTCACAGTATTGACACTTACAAGAGTTTGTCGACACGGTCTAAGTCTGACTACAAGTCCCGTTGGGCGTCGAAGGATTTTTGGGTTCTTCGGCGTTTGCCGAGCAAAGTCGTGCAAGCATCAATCAACAGTCGATCGTAAATGAATTTACTGCTGTAAGTACTCGAGCCTCGGGGTATACTATCGCTACATATGGCTTCATTACGCAACATGTACTAGAGTAAGAAACGATGTCAATCGTCTTCCAGCTGTCTGGCTGGTTAGAGGGCACGAACAGGCATGGCCGTCCGCTTATCGTTCGCATTAGTAGTCCTGTTTCCCGACATGTTCAAGGTGTGCTCTCAGACCCATTCGGATTGTGCGCTTTCTTCCTTATATCCTAGCTCAGGGACAGAGCTATAGGTGACGGCATCAAGCTTCACATCTGGATCCGTGGTGCATCGTTTGACTTCATCTTTGTGTAACAAAAGTTTAAGGCCCGCCTTCCTGAGCTCTGTTTTTGTTGGTTTTTCGCCGACTGCGTCGTAAAGTTGTTCCGGTAGATCTTCTTGCCACCTTTCATCGTCCTGATTACCGATGAGCCATACGATTTGCAGTATACCAGGTCTCTCTATGAGTTCGAGTCCGCCATCGCCTTCGGAAGCAGACCGTTTAGAAGGCTGCAGGGTCAAGGCAAGCGCCACCATGAATGTGAGGATCGATATACCAAGGCCAGCGAATACCTAGTGAGGAGTTATATTCAAGGACGACTGTCCTGGTAGAGCTGTGCACTCACCCAGTTTCTGCGGATCTACAGGCAAATAAGATGAGAACGAGATTACACAGTTAGAGAAATAGGAATTTCACCTGAAAATCAAAAATCAAAACGGGTTGCGTGTACTCAATTCCATTGGCCTTATTCGGGTACTGGGACATTTTTCGGAAGCTCGCTACATACAGCTATGAGTAAACGACTACTTAAATAAATCAACGAAGCTAACTCACCGCGCCAGTAAATACTCGCAACGATCCGCGACAGTGCTAACTCGACTTGAGCCACGCTCCACGTTCTTTCTGGATCCCAAACATAGCCTCCGTCCGTTATTGTGAGAAGATTCCACATAGCACTGAATGTGAGCTGATCAGTCATAATGTACTCTACGAGTCCCGTAAGAGTGCTCACTCTTCCAGTAAAGAGAAACTGCGGGTAGCTGTCACATTTGTATCAGCGAAAACGATCGTTCGTCGCTGGTCTGCGCTTCCCTTATAGGGAGAAAGTAAGCTGAGGTTGCCAATCTACGTGTTATGCATGAGAATTCAATACAGGGTGCTCGATGGAACAGCTTACAGGCGCGAGGAACGGTGGAATAGCGACTTGTGATGACGTCCAGCTGCTCCAGTTGCTCCTCCCGAAGTCATATAGTACATTGCGCGGGGTCAGGTTAGCGTCAATCTGGACCGATGTATTGGCGGCGCTGACATTGCATGCCAGCATCTGGATGTTTTGAACAAAATCTAGCCTGCCTAAGCCCAATTAGTCGCGAATAGATGAGGCTTTGTCTATACTACACTCACTACATTGAGCACTATCAGCCCCTGGAGGGCAGCCCTGGAGGATGGGTGGATCTATTGCCGCGAGGGAGGATGTGTACCCAGCTTCGTCTTTCACAGGATCGCCTGTAAAGGCAACGAACAAGAGGGCGTTATTCTGGTTGTCGAGACGCCGTGCGTTGACAACATTGACGCCACCCGGAGCTAGTTTCAAACATAAGAGACCACAAATCCGTAGTATAGGCTAAAGCTCACTAGGTAGGATATGGACGTTCTCCATCGCGTCATCGACG